AAATAAACAACACACACACACACACACACACACACACACACACACACTCCCATTGTACCAGTCATCCAGGCTCTTAATCACAGTAATTTCGATTTTTCTATCTGCTCCTCTTCTTTCTACTCCCCTCACCCTACTCCTTCTAATGAGAAGCCAAGTTCTACGGATTGTACCACATATCACAGGTGCTGCTGAAACCTGGCACTTTCCAACTATGAATGTCATCATGATGTTCTAAGCCATCAACCACTTTTGATCTACACCAGTATTCCTCCAATGTTTCTACAAAAGTACCTCTAACAGCAGAGAAAATATAAACGGTGGGGAGGAGGGTACCCTTATGGAATGTAACCCTTAGCGGCTTTTAAATCTTTCTATACCCACTTTGGAGAAATTTCTTTGTAGACTCCTGTTATCTTTAAAAAGTTAGGCAGATTTCGCATCCTCCCCCATCTTTTTTTTTAAGAATACAAAAGGCTTATTTACATATCCAAGGTACTCAGATCCTACAGATGTGGACATGCTAGCTCCTTCTTTTAGAATAAACTGATGATGGGCAATAATCAATATCTGAAACTTTGTATTACTCTTTTTTTTTTTAAATTAATTTATTTTTGTCTCCACTGGGTCGTCATTGCTGCACGCGGGCTTTCTCTAGTTCCAGCGAGCGGGGGCTACTCTTTGTTGCGGTGCGCGGGCTTCTCATTGCGGTTCCTCCATCTATTTTCGCTTTAACATTCTAGGAAGCGTCTAGTTAGCTGTCGGTGAGACAAACTGATGCTTTGAGAACATTTTCTACGTTTATCAGGAGCTTCACATGGCGTATCTGTGTTCTGGTTTGAGAAGAATCCCTGTCGACCCCACCTGGTCTCTCTGCCCTCGGTCTGTGTGTATGTGCCATTTTACTTCATCACACACTCCAGTAGTGCCACGCTGCTACCAAATTAAGTATAAGCTGGTTTCTTTTGATTCAAAGCCCTCCAAAAATGATCACTCCAATTTTATTTCTGATACTAAGTTACTTTTTTGCAAGCTGAAATGCTTTGATTAGTATGTTCTCAGTATTTTAATTGAATCTGGTTGCTGGCACGTGGCTTACTTCCATAGCCATTTAGCTAGCACAGTGGTTCTCAGAGTGTGTTCCCCAGACCAGAGACATCAGCATCACCTGAGAACTTGTTAGAAATGTGTATTTTACGTCCTGTCCTATACCAGACCTGCTGAATCAGAAACTCTGGCTGAGCAATCTGCGCTCTAGCAAGCCCTCCACGGTGATTCTGATGCAGCTGAAGTTTGAGGGCCGCTGGTCTAGCATTTAGTTTTTGAATTTCAAATGGAGTAAGAAATGGATTTCAAAAAAAAAAAAGAACCACCTAATGGAATATAAACTATTATTTAAGTGCAAAATCTTTTTTTAAGACAAAATGTTAACACTCACTAAAGGCTCTTTTACTAGAATTCTGCTACTAAATATAATTTTCATATAGGTTCTTCTTAATTTAGAAAATGTGTTCTAAAGGAAGACCAGATTAAACAATTTTTAGTTCATTTGTCTCCTCCTAGTGGCAGGCTTTTAAATATTGACCACGACAACCTCATTTATGTTTCATTTATGTTTCTCAGAAATCATAGTTCTGAATTTTTTTCATGATTCCTCTTATTAGCTACAATTAAAGTCAATTGGCCCTCCTACCAAATTACATAGATTCTTCTATATTAGCTCCAACTATGGCTGTAGAAAACCATGTAATTTATCTCTTCCTTGGCTCTTTTTTTTTCTTCTCTTTTTTTTTTTTTTGCGGTACGCGGGCCTCTCACTGCTGTGGCCTCTCCCGTTGCAGAGCACAGGCTCGGGACGCGCAGGCTCAGCGGCCACGGCTCACGGGCCCAGCCGCTCCGCGGCATGTGGGATCCTCCCAGACCGGGGCACAAACCCGTGTCCCCTGCATTGGCAGGCCGACTCTCAACCACTGCGCCACCAGGGAAGCCCCCTTGGCTCTTTTTAATCTGACTTGTAAATCTTCCCTCATTTTGTTACCAACTTCTTAGCAGTAGAAATTCATTACTTAGAACATTTGAAATGAGTTTTCTTCCTTTACAGAATGTCAACAACATCCAGGTGTTTACCTTTATTCCTCTCACCACCGCTCCCTTTCTGGCAATGCCACGGGAACCACACAAAATCTCCAGGGTACTGGGAGAGCCACTGCCTCCGAATCTCTTTTCAGTGAACACTTTGAGCCCTCAAGCCCCTAGGCTATATTGACTTAGGGTGTGAACAGATTCCTTTGACTCTTAAAATCAACAAGACAGGTTTGATTTCTTCCAAAAGATTTTATCAATATGGCAGGATAATTTATGGAGATACTAGTACACTACATTTTCCCCTTGATCTCTTCCAAGCGGGCAGCCAGGCCATTTGTATTCCTTTGTCTTGGATGTCTAAAGGATGGAAAGCTGAAGCTACTTGAAGACCGTGGCTTTTCCCATCTATTGTTAGAGTCTGAGCTCACTGAGGAAATTATGCTACATGTCTGAGAGGTAAAAGGGAAGAGGTGCCTTTATTTACACTGGAGGAAATAAATGAGATTTCCTTAGGCTGGGAAGGAGTGTAAACTGGTGCATCCTCATTCCCCTAGCAGCACCCTGGAGAAGTGTCAAGACCTATGGTCTGCTTAGAAAGGCTAGACCGCTAGCACTAATTGCCTATAGAAAGGGGTGCTGGGGGACAGGGATGGAAGGCTTACTTTTCAGTCTCTATCCTTTCGTAAATCATTCAAAATAAAAATAATAATTATGTCTTAAATAGTAAACAATAATAACCTCGACTAGAAGTATGAGGTTTGTTTATTTGAAAGGGACATCTTGAGTCATTACACTGACCTCGTAAAACATATTTTCATTCCTCAAGCCTTCCTTCACTGTCTGCTGCTCCCTCAGCTTGGATTGTCCTTCTCCTCTTTATCTTCCCTGAACCTTCAATAAAATCTGACAATTTATATAATTTTTCAATTTACAAAGCACTTTTTTTTTTTTTTTTTTGCGGTACGCAGGCCTCTCACTGTTGCGGCCTCTCCCGTGGCAGAGCACAGGCTCCAGACACGCAGGCTCAGCGGCCATGGCTCACGGGCCCAGCCGCTCCGCGGCATGTGGGATCTTCCTGGACCAGGACACGAAACCGTGTCCCCTGCATCAGCAGGCGGACTCTCAACCACTGGGCCACCAGGGAAGCCCCAAAGCACTTTTTAAAAAAAATTTTTGGCTGCGCTGCAAGGCATGCAGGATATTAATTCCCCAACCAAGGATGGAACTCTGTGGCCCCTGAATTGGGAGCAGGGAGTCCTAACCACTGGACCACTAGGCAAGTCCCCTACAAAGCACTTTTAGATACATGATCTAATCTTCAAACAAAAAAATATATACAGTGAAGATGAATAATTTTATCCTCATTTAATAAATAAGAACACAGGGGATGAGAAAGTGCAGCAGCTTGTGCCAGGTCACAATTCTTATATTTCAGAGCTATAATTCAAATCTACAACTGCTAACAAGTCCAGTGATTTTTCCCACTTTTTTTAAGCTACGAAATCCTATTCATCTAATGGAGGAACTGGGTAAAAATGCACAAAGATGTTTACTAAAGTGTTGTGCAATATCAATATTGCACAATAAATACCATCACATAGATCTGTATTTATCATGGAAAATATGGACAAACATCCATAATACTACATATAGTGAGAAAAGCAAGTTTAAAACAGATGTACACATAAACAATGTGTTTATGTAGAAAGAAGCTGGAAAGATATGTGTAGGAAAATGGGTTTTTTAAACAATGTGTTTACGCAGAAAGAAGCTGGAAAGATATATTGTGTAGGAAAATGGGTTTTTTGATTTTTTTAATAAACTTTTTTTTTTTTTTTTTTACTTTTTTTTATTATTTTTTGGCCGTGCCATAGGGCACGCAGGATCTTAGTTCCCCGACCAGGGTTCAAACCCGTGCCCCCTGCTCGGAGACTTAACAACTGGGCCACCAGGGAAGTCCCCTCGTTGTTTTCTTTGTTTTGTTTTGTTTGGCCGCACCGCGTGACTTGAAGGATCTTAGTTCCGGGACCAGGGATTGAACCCAGGGCCACGGCAGAGAAAGCACCAAGTCCTGCCCACTGGACCGCCAGGGAATTCCCCCGGAAAACGTTTTTTAAAAGTTGTAATACTCTAAATTTTTATATATTATTACTAATACTAGATTAAATGCACATTAGTGCTTAATATGTGAATAGTGGGATTATCTCATTTAATCCTCACAATAACCAACTTGCCTAAAGGCTTACTGTTAAGTAACGCAGCAGAACCGGACGGGTATCAAACCCCAAACCTCATGCTCTTTGAAGGTAGATCATCCTGTCTCACGTACAAAGATCATTTATTTTATAATCAGAAAAATCCATGAGGTTAGTTTAAGAAAATCCTGTTCAAAACTTCACTTCTCGGAGTCTACTGTACTCCCCAAACAATCTGGGTCTCTTACAGCACCTAGGGCCATCTGATTAGCATTGGTTGGTCCCTTATTCTACCTCTCCTAGCGGCCTGAAACCCCAGCTCACTTCCTCGCGCAGTGGGCGCCCGATACGTGGAACACTGAGGACTGCCCTTTACTTAGCTCGTGGAGAACCTGAATTGATGATCAGTGCTCACACGACATTAGGAATTTCTTTCCAAGCATTGTAGGCTGGGGCCACACGAGGCCTCTCCATTTCCCTCGCGCACCGTAGCCTCCTTGCCTGCACCTACTTCATCCCCTCGGCTTCCATAGTGCTCTCGTCCCAGCTGGGCCGGGAGCCCGAGGGTTCCCTAGGTCGCGGGACCTGCCCGGCCGACCCGCCAGGGCCCCGGCTCCGGCTCTCGGGACAGGGACAACAGGCTCCACGTGGGCCTGGGAGCCGCCATCTCGCGTGCTGGCAGGAGCAACTGGCGCTGTCGGAGCCGCGGCGGGGCGGAAGCTGCTGCCCGTACTCAAGATGGCGGCCCCGGCGGGCGGGGCCCACGGCTCGGAGACCGCGCGGAGGAGCGGCGGCATGGCGGCGGTGGCCGAGGAGCCGAGTCGGGGATACTGGGACGACGAAGAGGAGGAGGAGGAGGAGGAGGAGGCAGTGAGTGCGACGGCGGAAGCCCGCGCGGCGGTGGAGAGGGTGGCTGCTCGGCTGTGTGCGGGGAAGGGAGTCGGGACGCGGCGGGTTTGCGGGGGCTCCTGGCGGGATTGTGCCTCAGGGCGCGCGGAGCGGCGGGCAGCTGGCCCCAGCCGTATGGGCTACACGGAAGTTCGAGGGGGAAGGAGGGAAGTTACCTTAAGTAACGGCGCGCGCTTCCTCTTGTTGAAAAAAGGACCTAGTTTTCACAAAGGTGGGGGGTCGTTGCACTGGGGAGGTTTGGCTTCTCTCGTTAATGCCTGCTTCTTCCTGCACACTCGCAAGCTAGCGCCTTTAACCCCTCTTTCTTCCACCAGGAGCAGTTGGTTCTGGTGGAATTATCAGGAATTATTGATTCAGACTTTCTCTCAAAATGTGAAAATAAATGCAAGATTTTGGTGAGTCTTGTAGAATTGGGGGGTTGTTGTAGATTTTCTTAAATTTAAAACAAGAATGAGTGGTGAAATATACCCGTCCCTAAGATTGATATATTAATTTCACGTGAACAAAGCAGTGAACGCTGGAGACAATTACAGGAGTACAGGGGGACTGTGGGAGCAGCTGGGAGAAAGTTAATGCCTAACTCTGCCTGAGTGTCTGCCTGTGTGGCTGGAGAGAGGTAAAGATTTGGAGGGTTAAAGCATTTTGATATGGAACATTAGGTTTTGAAAAAATACACCGTTTTATATAGTGAGGAGAGTGAGTAAAACACAAAGGGCAGAGAGGATAATTAGATATGCACACAGAGGTTAAACAGATGCAAACTGGTATATATAGAATGGGTAAACAACAAGGTTCTACTGTATAGCACAGGGAACTATATTTCAATATCCTGTGATAAATGATAATGGAGAATATGAAAAAATGTATATATGTACAATTGAGTCACTTTGTTGTACAGCAGTGATTACACAACATTGTACTTCAACTATACTTCAGTAAAAAACAAAATTAAAGCGGCTTCCCTGGAGGCGCAGTGGTTGAGAGTCCGCCTGCTGATGCAGGGGACACGGGTTCGTGCCCCGGTCCGGGAAGATCCCACGGGCCGCGGAGCCTGCGCCTCCGGAGCCTGTGCTCCGCAACGGGAGAGGCCACAACAGTGAGAGGCCCGCGTACCGCAAAAATAATAAAAAAAATTTTAAAAACTTCAAAAACTAAAGTATGGAAAACAAACAAAAATAGTGTGGAGAAGGGAGAGAGAATACCTATTAAGAAAGGACTTCAGGGGCTTCCCGGGTGGCGCAGTGGTTGAGAGTCCGCCTGCCGATGCAGGGGACACCGGTTCGTGCCCCGGTCCGGGAAGATCCCACATGCTGTAGAGCGGCTGGGCCCGTGAGCCATGGCCGCTGAGCCTGTGCGTCCGGAGCCTGTGCTCCGCAACGGGAGAGGCCACAACAGTGAGAGGCCCGCGTACCGCAAAAAAAAAAAAAAAAAAAAAAAAGAAAGGACTTCAGGGCTTCCCTGGTGACGCAGTGGTTGGGAGTCTGCCTGCCGATGCAGGGACGCGGGTTCGTGCAGCCCGTGAGCCATGGCCGCTGAGCCTGCGCGCCCGGAGCCTGTGATCCGCAACGGGAGAGGCCACGGTGGTGAGAGGCCCGAGTACTGTTGACTTGAGCTATGGTATCGGGAGTTACCCTCTGGTTTATGTTTAAAATCTTTTGAGCATTTTTTTTTTTTTTTTTTTTTTGCAGTTCGCGGGCCTCTCACTGTTTTGGCCTCTCCCATTGCGGAGCACAGGCTCCGGACGCCCAGGCTCAGCGGCCATGGCTCATGGGCCCAGCCGCTCCGCGGCATGTGGGATCTTCCCGGACCGGGACACGAAGCCGTGTCCCGTGCATTGGCAGGCGGACTCTCAACCACTGCGCCACCAGGGAAGCCCTCTTTTGAGCATTTTTGACAAAACTTCCTCTGTTCTTACTTTATGTTGAAGAGGATGTTGATTGAAATAGACCTTGCTACTTGGGTATGAATTAAGTAGTCTTCAGTTTTGTAGCTGCTGTGATGAGAGCAGTTTTAGCTTATCTTTTACTTGCTAGGACAAGAAGCTCCAAAGGTTCCCCAGCTTTGGAAATCAGTCTCCTTGGTAGCAAGGTTTCATGTAAACGTCTTGTTCTTTTTTTGCCATGCCACACGGCATGCGGGATGTGGGATGTGGGATCTTAGTTCCCTGACCAGGGATCGAACCCGTGCCCCGTGCAGTGGAAGCGCAGAGTCTTAACCGCTGTACCACCAGGGAAGTCCCTTGTGCTTTCTTTTTTAAATTGAGAAATAATTGACATATAACATTATACTAGTTTCAGCTGTACAACGTTTTCAATATTTGCATATATTGTGAAATGATCACCACAATGTCTAGTTAACACCCATCACTACACATCGTTACAATTTTTTTTTCTTCTGGTAAGAGCTTTGAAGGTTTACTCTCTTAGCAATTTTCAAATATAAAGTACAGTATTATTAACTATAGTCACCATGATGTTCTTAAACATCCCAGGACTTATTTATTTTGTAACTGCAAGTTGGTATCGTTTGAGCCCCCACTTCACCCATTCCCCCCACCCCCAAGGCTTTTTCTAATGATGATTTTTTTAATGATCCTATATTCTGTTGTAGGGAATTGATACTGAGAAGCCCATTCTGCAAGTGGACAGCTATGTCTTTGCTGGAGAGTATGAAGGTAGGAGGAAGTCAGAGAGATGAAACTCCCTTTTTTTTTATATGCCTTTCAAAGAAAGTAGCTCTGTTACTTCTCAACAAGTTGCCTTCACGTTTTTCTACAGACACTCTTGGGACCTGTGTTATCTTTGAAGAAAATGTTGAACATGGTAAGTGATTGCTATGTTGACTCAACTCTTTTTACTATGAAATATTTCAAACATACTTATGTATGGTGGATATTAAAATTATAAGATCTCATGTACCCCTTGTCTAGCTGTATCAAATCCTCCCTTTTGGTTAGGTAGTTAAAAAACATTCCACATACCTTTGAAGCCCCTTGTATACCCCTCTCCAAACCTACTCCCTTCCTCTGTCTTCAGAGTTAAATCACTCTCCTGAATTTGGTGTTTTTCTTTCCTATACCTGATTTTATATTACATATGTATGTATGCGCACACAATAAATAGCACTTTCTGTGTATTTTCACACTTGATATAAGTTATAGCATATTATACATATTATTCTATGTCTTTTTTCCATTAGAGATGTTTCGAGATTTATACGTGTTGATATATATCTGTTTTCCCTGTTGCTTAAGATTCTATTTGTGACTATACCACAGTTTATTCTCCAATTTATGGACATGTAGGTTGCTTCCGTTTTTACCAGTAATTATTAATAACTACTAAAATTTATTGAGTGCTTTCTGTATGTCAGGCACTGTTCTAGGTGCTATAAGTATTAACTCATTGAATCCTCACCACAAGTCTATGAGGTAGATGCCATTGTTTTCATTTTATATTTGAAGAAACTGAAGCACAGAGAGGTAAGTAACATTCCCGAGGTCATACACAAAATAAGAGGCAGAGCCAGGATTTGAACCCAGGTGGTCTGCTCCAGAGCCCATTTTCATAATTATGCTTATTAACTCACTACAGAAATGCTGCCATAAATATTTTTATGTTTCCTTTTGCATATATGTAAAAATGTCTTGATGAGTGTGTGTACTAGATTCAACCATATGAAATTACCAATTTGGGCCGAAGAGCGACAGTTTCATGTGGTTGAACTTAATAGATGTCACTGTGTTGCTTTCTAAAGTGTAGTATCAGCCACACAGTGGCAGGGTGTGGAAGTTTTCCGTGTGCTTCACATCCTTAGCACAGAGCCTCATCCTCCCTCCTGCCTACGCCCACAGTTTTTATAAAGCTGTGACCCCCAGCAGCAGGTTGGCAGCGGTTTTTTTCTCATCTTCTTTCATGATCGGTAATGTTCTCCACTCCAGTCCGGCTTCAAGCAGTAGGTCTGCCTTTGGTCCTTCACTTTGAGTGGCAGAGTTTTCGACCTCATTACCCTGTAAGGCCAAATTCCTGGCCTCCCTTTCCTGCTTCCGAGCTGGAGCCTAATAGGCCCATAGCTTTAATCTCACTTTGTGTTTCTGTCCCGTAGAGATGTTTGTTGTCTTTGAGTTCACTGTGCCTTTTGTTCTTATGTATTTTATCTGATATTTCTCTGTGCTTGGAGCTGGAGGAAACTGGAATCATTGAGGCTTAACATGATTATTTGATGGCATCAAGCAGCATAATAGTGTTCATTTTATATTCTAGTGGATGCAGAAGGCAATAATAAAACAGTGCTAAAATATAAATGCCACACAATGAAGAAGCTCAGCATGACAAGAACTCTTCTGACAGAAAAGAAGGAAGGAGAAGAAAACATAGGTTAGTTCACTTAGTTCTCTGAAAATAGGTGATTTAGTATTGGCTTTATGAAACACTGCTGCCAGGATGTTCTTTGTACTTTGTAGTAATAACTATATGTGATAAGTAAAGTATATTAAAATTGAGGGTACTCCATGAAAAGTACCAAACATAGATTTAAAATTGAGTTGAATTCTCACATAGCAGGGGGCACTGGAGACATATAAGAAATTTCTATCTTCTTTGCATTGGAAACGATTGTGAGGAGTTTGTCAAGAAACTTGACATGATTTCAACCCCAGGGAATTCAGCAACTACTTCTCTCTCTCTCTCTCTCTCTCTCATTAAAACTTCTTTGTAAGTGCAGAAGATGTGATGATAGCAGTTCTCGATTCCCAAGGAGTAACCCCATAGGATCTCCTGAACTTTTGGCAGATGCAGTAACCTTCCCCAAGATGCTCACAACTGGAAGAAACTGGCTTTATATGTGGGAGGGACTCTAGGACCAGAGTTGTTAGTCCTGGGTCTCGTTCTTTAATAAGCATCCATTTAGCCTTCTCCAGTTGCTCGTCATCCCACACTAGAGACCTTAGGCCAGTGCTTCTTGCACCCATAGCAGGCGCATGTTTGTGGAGATGAGCAAATAAACACTTGGTGGTTTAAAGCCCATTGTTCACCACACCAACCTCCTTCTCTTGCCCTAGGGAATTTGTGACACAGTCAGAATAAAGGTGTTTGTCCACCAAAAAAAAAAAAGACTTATTGCTCAAAGACATATTTGAAACTCTAGTAAATGAGACCCTATTGATGAATATTCATGGTTTGATTTATTATATTTTAAGGAATAAACATTTGAAGGTGCATTAATCATTTAGAAATTAATTATACCAGCTACACGTAACTATATAACAAATCTTTGTTCTTATATATTCCACAATTATCCCTTTTTTTAGGCACTCCAAAAATAATAGGAAGTAGGCACTTGAAGTTCTAGAATGAATTCGAAAGGCAGATACATACCAGATAGCTTAGCTATCATTTAGATATTCTTTTTAAAGGAAGTTATACAATTTCCTCTCCTATAGTTCTTAATAATCTAATAGATCTTTGGGAAGATTTGTGTGTATCTTTCAATCAAATAAATTAGTAACGAACTATTCAAGGCTGTATTGGTTACCTATTGCTGCATAAAAAGTTACCCCTAAACTTAAAGGCTTAAAACAACAACAATAGAACACCATCTTACACGTTTCTGTGAATCAGGAACTGGGGAGCAGCTTAGCTAGGTTGTTCTGGCTGGGGTCTCTCATGAGGTTGCAGTCATTGTGTTGGCTGGGCTGTAGTCATCTGAAGGCTTGAGAAGGGTCGGAAAATCTAATTGTAAGATGGCTCACTCACATAGCTGGTGAGTTTGTGCTGCCTGTTGCAGGAGGCCTCACTTCCTCACCTCCTCACACTACTGTTTGAGTGCCCTCCTGACACGGAGGCTGGCTTTCCCAGACCAAGTGATCCTTAAGAACAAGGTAGAAGCCACAATGTCTTTTATGAACTATCCTTAGAAGTCACATTCTGTCATTTCTGTGATATCCTATTCCATGTGGGAGGGGACGACACAGGGGCGTGCTTGTCAGAAAGGTGAGGATCATTGGGGACCATCTTGGAGGCTGTTTGCCAAACATGGCAAGATGCTGGAGGCAGAACAAAATACACAGGAAATGTAGTCCTTACTTTCTAGGAACTTGTACTCTAAAGCAAATCACGTTGAAACAGACACGGATGACTATGACTCCACACCCATTTCATTCAACTTATTTTAAGTATCTGTTATGTGCCAAGTATTATGCTAGATAACAGAGTAGGCTTTAGGATGGCTTTGAGGTTTTAAACTTGGTGACTAGGAGAATGACGTTATAGCAAGAAAAAACTATGAAGTCAATAGTTGAAGCTGAACTGGAGGGAAAGAACAAATCGATTTTTGAAAGAGGGAGACTTTATAGTAGTAATACATGAGAAAAGATATGGGATCAACAGTAAGGATGTTTCAACAAACAGCTGCAGAAGAGTTAGTTTATGAATGGGGACAGGAACAGATGGATGCGTGAACAGGGTGACAAGATAGGTTGGTATATCTTACATATATCTAATGGAACTTTGAAGGTGAGAGTAAACAGCTTGGGCTATAGGAATTGAGGATCCATTGAAAATACTTAACTGAAAGGGTCATAAGGATGAAAGAAAAAAATGGCTAGCATTATTGGAACAATTTTTTTTTTTAAGATTTATTTATTTAGTTTATTTTTGGCTGTGTCAGGTCTTAGTTGCAGCACACGGGATCTTCGTTAAGGCATTTGGGATCTTTCGTTGCGGCGCATAAGCTCTTCATTGTGGTGCACAGGCTTCTCTCTAGTTGTGGTGCACAGGCTCCAGGGTGCGTGGGTTCTGTAGCTTGCAATACGCAGGCTCTAGTTGAGGCACGCGACCTCAGTAGTTGTGGCATGCGGGCTTAGTTACCCTGCAGCATGTGGGAGCTTAGTTCCCTGACCAGGGATCAAACCCGTTTTCCCCTGCATTGTAAGGAGGATTCTTTACCACTGGACCACCAGGGAAGTCCCTGGAGCAATTCTCAATTGTGGGAGTTCATTGACAGGTAAGGGCTTTGACTGTGAGTATGGAAAGGAACAAAAAATTTTTTCAAGGGTGTTTTTTGAGAGGTGTCTTATTTCACAATTGGATTTTTCAACTCAAAATGACAAATAAATGTTGACTCAAGATGATAGAGTGGTATCATCCATTGTATTATGAAAACTGAATGGGTAGGGAGAAAATTGTAGGGAAGTGACAAAATTTTCTTCAAGACAAAAGATGGCAGTGGGAGCTCAGTTATCTCTCAGAATGGGTTGGGAATTGGACTCTGGGAAAAGGGCTTGGAATAGTAACTGAAGTTGATTACTTTTAGTGATTTTGATGATGCATACCCTATAGGCATTCCAAGGTCTCCATGTAAGATGGAAATTATATGATCATTTATCAGTAGGTACAGGCACCATGTTCCTTTCTTTACGTTGGGGTTTTATTTTGATAAATATTCATATGAACAATTAAATTAGAAATATATGTAAGTAACTGAAATTCCTTTTTCATGTTTCTTGGTTTGTCCCCCTGCCTCCTCCATTAGGTGGTGTGGAATGGCTGCAAATCAAGGAAAATGATTTCTCCTGTAGACCCAACATGATTTGTAGTTTTCTGCATGAAAATGAAGAGGATGAAGTTGTAGCTCCAGACCCAGATAAATCTTTGGAGTTGGAAGAGCAAGAGATTCAAATGAAAGATAATTCAAACCTGAGTTATGAACAGGAGAAACCACCAAACTTGGATATAGAGGATTCTGGTCCTCTTATTGATATCCCTTCTTCTGAGACAGAAGGCTCTGTTTTTATGGAAACTCAAGAAACTGCCTTAGAAATCACTCCTAGATGAAATGTTCCTCATAAAAACTAGTCATGATGTTTTTAGAGTTTTTATATAAAATAACTGGCTTTGTAGTTTTCAGTTCACAATTTTATTATTTTTGTTGGCTATATACGCATTTCCAATTATAATATAGTTTAATATACTAGAATCATTAAGGACCAGATACGAGTTTTTAAAAATATGGTTTCAATGACTGTAGGGACCCTTCTGTGATGAGTCCTTTAAAAGGGGGTTTTACTAAGGTAAGTGTGAGTTTCTATTGCAGCCATCACAAATTACCACAGACTTAGTGGCTAAAGTGTATTAAGCTACACAAGTGTATTGTCTTATAGTTTTGTAGGTCAGCCATCTGATATGGGTCTCACCTGGGCTAAAATCAAGGTATTTGCAGAGCTTCATTCTCTTCTGGATGTGGCATGGGGGACTCCATTTCCTCGTTCATTCAGTTGTTGGCAGAATTCAGTTCTTTGCAGCTGAAGGATCGCGGTCCCATTTCCTTGCTGTTGGCTGAGAGCCATTCCCAGCCAAACCACTTCTAGAGGCTGCCTGCATTCCTTCACTCATGGTCCGCTTCTCTTCAAAGCCAGCAATGGTCAAGTCCCTCTCAGTCTTTGAATCTCTCCTGCTTCTTCCATAATCCTATTGATGATGGACCCTTCTGCCTTCTTTTAAAGGTCCATTTGATTACACTGGGCACATCTGGGTAACTTCCCTGTTTTAAGGTCTATAACCTTAATTCCATCTGCAAAGTCCCTTTTGCCATGTAATTTAACCAGGCATAAAACTGAGAATTATGGCATGAAAACATTTGGGGGGCCATTTTCCAGTCTACCAATGTCAGTATTACTCCTGAGAACAGAAAAAGAATTCAGAAGTGCTTAAGGGTGAAGGTACAGTTCTGATATTCCAGCTGTAATTTCACTTCTTTCCCACTGAATAAAGATGGTTGGAATTCAGCTGTAACATTCTACAATATTATGGTGATAACCTAGATCTACCCTAACTTGTATTTTTTAAGTAAATTAGTCACACACTTTGATACAGGTTGAACTATATGAAATTACCAATATTTGTTTCTGACTATAAAACTCTGCAATTTTATATGGTTTAACCTGGTACTAATAAGTTAAAACACTCCTCACGTTAATTATATCTCACAACTGTTGGAGGTGTAACTGTTGTGACAGATTAGAGAACTAATGTTCTAGGATGAGGAATTTTTTCCTTCAGTAGGTTTTGTAAATTTTTACTGTTTATTTGGAAAACAACTTACCCTGATTAAAAGCATTTCCAAATCATAAGTGTGTATCCTCCCAATTTTTATATGACTTTAGTGTCAGCTTTTGTTTAATCAAAAGCTTATTTTTTTCTACCAAATGGTATGAAGTCTCTATGTGGAGAGACTGCTAATTACTTGAGCCAGCATCTGGTCTTCCTTTATTTCTTTGTAACAGAATCCCAGAATTTATTCAGGTTAGCAGTGTGCACAGCTTTCCTCATGTATATGAAAGTGGCCGTATTATCTAGATGTTAGTTCTTCCCAGCTTGATCTATAGTTTCAATGCAATCTGAAATAAAATCACAGCAAGGTTTTTATGGATATTGTCAAACCAACTCTAAAGTTTATATGGAGAGGGAAAGACCCAGAATAGTCAATACAATATTGAAGAACAGTAGGAGGACTTCACGACTTACTGTAAAACTACAGTAATAGAGACAGTGGGAACTGCTGAAAGAATAGACAAATAGGCCAATGGAAGAGAATAGAGAGCCCAGAAATAGACATACATATAGTAAACTGATCTTAGATCAAGGAGCAAAGGCAATACAATGGAGCAAACATAGTCTTTTCAATAAATGGTCCTGGGACAACTGAATATCCATATGCAAAAGAATGAAGCGGGACCCCCCCCCATCTCTACTATATGTATATATAGATTTATTCAAAATGGACCAAAGGTCTAAATAAATGTAAGAGCTTAAAATGATAAAACTCTGAAGACAGGAGACATGGGTTCAGTCCCTGGTCCGGGAAGATCCCACATGTTGCAGAGCAACTAAGCCTGTGTGCCACAGCAACTGAGCCTGCGCTCTAGAGCCTGTGAGCCACAACTACTAAGCCCATGCGCCACAATTACTGAAGCCTGCACGCTCTAAGGTCTGCGGGCTGCAACTATGGAAGCCCACATGCCTAGAGCCTGTGCTCCCCAGGAAGAGAAGCCACTGCAATGAGAAGCCCACGCACCGCAACGAAGAGTAGCCTCTGCTCGCTGCAACTAAAGGAAGCCTGTGCTCAGCAACGAAGACCCAATACAGCCAAAAAAAAAAAAAAAAACAAATCGTTTATTATGTTGGATTAGGAAATGTCCTCTTAGATATAACACAAAAATTGCAAGCAACGAAAAAAAAATGGATACATTGGACTTCATCAAAATTGAAAAGTTTGGGCTTCCCTGGTGGCACAGTGGTTGAGAGTCCGCCTGCCGATGCAGGGTACACGGGTTCGTGCCCCGGTCCAGGAAGATCCCACATGCTGCGGAGCGGCTGGGCCCGTGAGCCGTGGCCGCTGAACCTGCGCGTCCGGAGCCTGTGCTCCGCAACGGGAGAGGCCACAACAGCGAGAGGCCCGCGTACCACAAAAAAAAAAAAAAAAAAAAAAAAAAAAAAAAATTGAAAAGGTTTTCGCTTCAGAGGACACTATCTAGAAAATGAAAAAGCCTATTCAATTGGAGAAAATATTTCAAATTATATATCAGATAAGGGACTTGTATGTAGAATATATTGGAAACTATTACAACCCAACAATAAAAAGACAACCCAATTTAAAAATGAGCAAAGATTCGAATAGACATTTTCCTGAAGAAAGGTATACAAATGGCCAATCAGCCCATGGAAAAAATGCTCAAAATCGTTTGTCATCAGTGAAATGCAAGTGAAAACTACAATGAGATACTACTTTACACCTGCTAGGATGGCTTAATGAAAAAAGATGGACAATAGCAAATTTTGGAGAGGAATGGAGAAGTTGGAACCTGTGATTAATAGAATAATGCTCTCCCCAAAAGATGCCCATGCCTAAACTCAGGGATCTGTGAATACGTTACCTTATTTGGCCAAAGGGAATTTGCTATATGATTACGTTAAGGATCTTGCGATGGGGGTTATTATTGTGGATTATCCAGTTGTGCCACATGTAATCACACGGGTTTTATAAGAGGGATTCAGAAGTGTCAGAGAGAAAAAGAAGTTGTGGCAGTAGAAACAGAAGTTCAAGTGATGCCTTTTGAAGATGGAGGAATACTAAGGAATGCAAACGGCTTCTATAAACTGGAAAGGCAAAGAAACAGTCTCCCTGAGCTTCTGGGGGAATGTACCCCTAGTGACAACTTAATTTTAGACGTGTAAAACTAATTTTAGGCTTCGGGCTTCTAGAACACTAACATAATACATTTGTGTTATGACAGTAAATTTGTGGTAATTTGTTACAGCACCAATAGAAAAACCAATTCCAAACCCTCTTACATTGCTAATGAAAATGTAAAATGGTGCAGACAGAAAATACTTTGGCAGTTCCTCAAAATGTCAAACATAGAATTACCACATGCAGTTCTACTCCTAGAGAACTGAAAACAAAAGTCTACACAAAAACTTGTACATAAATGTTCAAAGCAGCATAATGCATAATAGTATAAAAGTGGAAACACAAATGTTCATAAATTTTTGAATGGATAAACAAACATGGTATATCCATAGAATGGACTATTATTCAGTCCTAAGTAAAGAAATTAATGTACTAAGAAAGAAGTACTGATACATGTTACAACACATATGAACCTTAAACATGGACACTTATGAACATAGTAAGTGAAATAAGCCAGATGCAAAAGGCCACATATTGTATGAATCCATTAATATGGTATGTTCTCAATAGTCAAATCTACGGAGACATAGGTTAGTGGTTGCCAGGGGTTGACAAGGGTTGAAAGTGGAGAGTGCTACTGGGTTATGAGAGGGTGATAAAAATGTTTTGGAATTAGTGGTGATGGATGTACATCTTTGTGAATATACTAAAAACCAAGAAATTGTACACTTTACGGGGTAATTTATGGCATGTGACGTATACGACAACTTAAACATTGGGGGGAAAATAACAATCAGAAGTGTTATTTTCTGCATACATTTTATGTGCCAGGCACTGTGGCAGTTATAAACTCTGTTTATAAACTCTGCCTCACTGATCTCATAGTTTTGTCAACAGTGCATATTTCACATTGATAATTTTAGTGACTGAATACCTACCATGCCACCAACCTTTCTAGCATCCTGGAGGATTCCCAGATGAATAACACCTGGTCCCTGAATATCTGAGTCCAGGTATACACATGAGACAGGCTGGGACCTGGGACCATTTCCTGCAGAGCTGCAATGCTTGCACCTGAACAAACGTCTCCTGGAGTAACAAAATACAAAAAAACTATAAGAGACTAAAAATATGTGCATGCACAGTTGGGGCAAATTATGGGCAAGAAACAAAAAGATCAGAAAAACCCCATTGCCACTTCTGCAGAGCTGGGTGCAAAGGGAGTAAAAGCAGGGTACTGCGCATGCCCCCTGCAACCAACACCACCAAATGCATGAGCAAACCACCTAAGCTACCCCTCCAGCCCACCCCTGGACACACCCTACCCTCACCCCATATAAGGAACCAGCTCACCTGCGCCCCACCCCCTACCTTCGGGAACTAGCAAGGGAACCTGTTACTTGGTTTTGCTCCTTCCTGCAGCCACAGAAGCCCCCCAAAAGCCTTGTCTGAATTTCTTGGCTGGCCTCTTACCAATTTCTATTGATTGGGGAAGGCCGAGAACCCTGGTCTATCACACACAGGTGTGTACATCAAGCTCCAAGAGGAGCCTGTTGATTTCCGGAAAAGAGCCAAGACAAACACCGGTAACCAAGGAAACAGAGCGCTATTTCATCCCAAACGGCCCCCAGCGCCTCCAAGCCTCCACGTCGGCGGCGGTGCCAGGAAGTGACGTCACGCCCAAGTTCCGGTTCCTCCTCGGTCGTTGCGCTGCCGTATCTCCTGTAACCCTGTGGTACACGTGCGTGCGCCAGGTGGGCGCTGCGGTAGCATGGACGCTTTGGATCGAGTTGTGTAAGTGCAGTGGGTTCTTTCCCCGGGTAACGTTGGGGAGAAGGGCCTCTGTAGCGGGACGGAGGAGTAACGCCTCTGCCTCCCGTTTCTCCTGGCCGCCCACGCTCCTTCTTCACACCCGTTGCGACTCCGTGCGGATGTATCCACTGGTTTGGGTTTCCGTCTGTTGGGACGGCCTGCGGGGAGACGGAGAGCAGGGAAGGCCGTGTGTGGGAGCCGCGGCGTGGAGGTGGCACCGAGGCGTTGGCCGCTTTTATCCTAGACAATAAGAAGTGTCTCGGCTTCCGCAGAAGTGAGAGGAAGGTGAGAGAGGTGTTCTGGGCACAGAACACCTGAGTGAGGTGCTCTGAGCACAGGCCTGGGAATGTGACAGATTTAGGTGACAGTCCGGGCCCGTCCACGTAAAGCTATGCGACTGGGACATTTAGTCCCCCTAAGTCTCAGTTTACTCTGTAAAATAGCGTTCATAATAGTCGTACTTCATAGAACTGTGAGGAATATTTGCGAGAATATATGTAAAGGCTTTGCGGCAGCACGTAGAGATGCTCATTAGCTTTTTTCTTTTTCCCAAACTTGTACACTTTTCTGAGTTATCCTTGGGTAATGTCTGCTTTATATTAGTCCAGAAAATGTTTATCGATCTCATAAATAGTTCTGCTGTTATTTGTTATGGATTTCTTGCGTTTTACCTGGGTTAACATGTAATCAAAAGGACAAATTATTCTTTTGGTCATTAAATCAGCGATTTTTGCACATGTGCTGAATATTCCTCTGCAGGTGCGGGGACCGCAAAAATGAGTAAGACTAGTTTACTGTCTCATTGTGGGACAAACAGCTAATAAAACGTACAAGGTGTTATTTGCATTAGTTGCTGGTTAGTCAGAAGTAATAAAGCACATGGAATATAGAACATATAGCACTTTTATTGGGTTAGAGACACACTAAATCTCTCCTGGTTTGACTTAAAAAGTACTGTGTATCTTTATCAACCAGTAAATGATTAGAAGCTTTAAATGTGCTTGACATTTTATCTGGTGAATTTTTAAAGTCTGCATGGTAAAGTAAGTTTGTGCATATTCTGTTTTGCTTTTACTTCACAAAGTGTCCGTGGGACTGGAAGGAGGGAGGGTCATAGTTATTTAAGAGAAGAGGAATTATTTCAGTAGATGGCAGAGAACTGTTGGAAAATCAAGATTCTCACTGTAGTGTAAGCAGAGGTGAACAGAGTGTATAAAAACATTCTACTCCTGCTGTAACATCATACAATCAGAATAATGGATTTGTTTTCCCTTCATATCTTGCAGAGTGATTGGTCTAGGTTAGTTTTTTTTTTTTTAATGCCTTTTGTATTTATTTTTTAATTTTTTGGCTGCATTGGGTCTTCGTTGCTGCGTGCAGGCTTTCTCTAGTTGTGGCGAGCGGGGGCTACTCTTCGTTGCAGTGCGCGGGCTTCTCGTTGCAGTGGCTTCTCTTAGTTGCAGAGCACAGGCTCTAGGTGTGCAGGCTTCAGTAGTTGTGGCACGCGGGCTCAGTAGTTGTGGCTCGTGGGCTCTAGAACGCATGCTCAGGAGTTGTGGTGCACGGGCTTAGTTGCTCCGCGGCATGTGGGATCTTCCCGGACCAGGGCTCTTACCCGTGTCCCCTGCATTGGCAGGCAGATTCTTAACCACTGTGCCACCAGGGAAGTTCTCTTTTTTTAAATAAAAGGTTTAGAAAACAGTAATAAAAGAATGCTGGGAATATAAAAATGGGAATCTTTTTAAAGACCATATCTAATAAAATTAACACTTACTTAACAGTAAGAGCTGAATATCTTTTACTAATATTCCCCTAAAAAGTGAGATTTTGTTTAGTGGTGGAATCCTAACTGATAAATGTCATGTAATGTCTCTGTTGATTTTTAAGAATTTGCACATAAGTCATGGTTTTGTAATATGAGGAACATGTTTTAAGTTGTTATGAATTGTGATTTTTCCGAATAGAAAGCCCAAAACAAAAAGAGCCAAGAGATTCCTTGAGAAAAGAGAACCGAAACTCAGTGAAAATATTAAAAATGCTATGCTGATTAAAGGGGGCAATGCAAGTTCAACAGTGACACAAGTACTTAGAGATGTGGTACGTATATATATACTTACTTTTTAAATGGTGTTGAAATCATTTTAGGAAATTTTTAGCATACTAGTTGGACTGCCTGAGAAATACATAGATAAGTTTGGCTTGCTTTAAGAAATGCTAGCCTTAGAGAAAAGCTAACGTCTCACCAAGGCCCTGACTACTGGTTTTCCTTACAGCAGCTAGTTCCCTTAGTAAATTTCACCTGATTTCAATTACTAGCATTTGATTTACTCACATTTCAGGAACATATCTAATTTGTAAAACGAGGTAACTGCATATTACTATCTATTCTTTCAACAATACCAACTACTGTGCTAGGTGCTAGGGATTAATAGTTACGTAAGACATAGTCTTTCCCTTCAGTGAGCTTAGTGAGGAAGACAGACAAGTAAAAGTTAACAGCATTGTGAATGAAGTGCTGTGCTGGAGGTACACACAGGATAGGATGGGAGGCTGAGTTAAAATCCCACGGGGGTTGCCACACACAGGATGGGCTTCCTAGAGATGACACTTAAGCATCATTTTGAAGGAGGAGTTGGAACAAGAAGGAGAAAAGGAAGCGGAAGAGAAGGGCTTCCAAGGCTGAGGAAAAAGCTTGTGCAAAAGGGCATGTGAATGAGCATGATGCATTTGGGGAACTGCAGAATTGGGGATGGCTAAAGGAGAGTGGGCTAGATGAAGCTAGAATTTAAGGAAATGAAGGGAATCATTTAAATTGGATAGAATATTGAAAGGGCATAGAAATTTTTAATTAGGAAAGTCCCAGCTAAGAATACTAAGCTCGTGTTGCATGTTATAAGTGATCAAAAGGGAGCCATGCAGAAGATAGCAGAATAGGATTCAGGGACCAGGATAATCTTGTATAATGACTGTTATCATGCTTGATTTTTACCTCTGCTTTTCAGAATGTGCTTTGTTTTGAAAGCTATAAATTATGTTTTACAGTATGCACTGAAGAAACCATATGGAGTTCTGTATAAAAAGTAAGTCATGATTTCTTTTATTTCACTTATTAAATTATATTGTTTCATTATAAAAGTAACAACCAACCACTTTATGGGAGATTTAGAAAAATATTTTGGTTAAAAAATACTACAGTTCCTTACATACGTAGCTATGAGTATTTTTATTTAATTTATTTATTTTAAAATATTTATTTATTTGGCTGCGCTGGGTCTTTGGTTGCGGCGTGCGGGATCTAGTTCCCTGACTAGGGATCGAACCCTGACCCCCTGCATTGGGAGCACGGAGTCTTAACTGCTGAACCACCAAGGAAGTCCTGCTATGAGTATTTAAAATTTGTTTGTTTCCTGTCTGTGTTTTCATTTGTACTGAATATCCTTACAGAGTTGTAATCATAGCATTATGTATTATTTTTAAATAGTAATAGACTTACAGAAAAGTTACAAAAATAGTAGCGTTCCCATATACCCTCTCCCAGCATCTCTTAATGTTATAACTTCCATAACCATAATACAGTTGTCAAAAGTAAGAAATGGACATTGGTACAGTAATGTTAATTAAATCATAGGCTTGATTTGGTTTGCACCAGTTTTTCCTTTTTCTTTTTTTATAAATTTATTTTATTTATTTATTTTTGTCTGTGTTGGGTCTTTGTTGCTGCGCACAGGCTTTCTCTAGTTGCAGTGAGCAGGGGCTACCCTTCGTTGCAGTGCGTGGGCTTCTCATTACGGTGGCTTCTCTCATTGTGGAGCACGGGCTCTAGGCGCGTGGGTTTCAGTAGTTGCGGCATGCAGGCTCAGTAGTTGTGGCTCACGGGCTCTAGAGCACAGGCTCAGTAGTTGTGGCGCATGGGCTTAGTTGCTCCGTGGCATGTGGGATCTTTCCGGACCAGGGCTCAAACCCATGTACCCTGCATTGGCAGACGGATTCTTAACCACTGCGCCACCAGGGAAGCCCCAGTTTTTTCATTAATATCCTTTTTCTCTTCCAGGATCCCAAATGTGTTCAGTTGTCGTGTCTCCTTAGTCTCCTCCAGTTTGTTACAGTTCCTCAATCTTTCCTTGTCTTTGATGACCTTGAAACTTCTGATGAGTGTTCGTCAGTTATTTTGTAAAATATCCTTCAGTTTACACTTGTCTTAAGTTTCTCATGAGTGGATTGAGATTATGCATTATGGGCAGGAGTACCACAAAAGTGATGTGCCTTTTTCAATAAATCATACCAGGGAGTACATGATGTCTTATTACTGTTGTTGTTAACCTTGGTTAAAGTGGTGTCTGCTGAGTGTCTCCACTGTAAAGTTTCTATTTTCCCCTTTGTAATTAACAAACTTTTAGAGGAGATACTTAGAGACTATGCAAATAAGCCTATTTCTCCTCAAACTTTTGTGTATTCATTTTAGCATTCATCAGTGGATCTTGTCTACAACAGTGATTACTGTGGTGTTCTAGTAGTGGTTTTCAATTTCTCTCATTCCCTCTGCGTTTATTAATTGGAATTCTGTAAGGAGAATCTGTCCCTTTTCCTCCATTTAATTACTTATTTATGTCAGTGTGGACTTACAGATATTTATTATGTTCTTTGGGGTTGTAATCCAGTGCTGTCATGATTTATTTATTTAATTTTTGGCTGTGTTTGGTCTTCGTTGCTGCGCGCGGGCTTTCACTAGTTGTGGCGAGCAGGGGCTACCCTTTGTTGCGGTGCGTGGGCTTCTCATTGCGGTGCTTGTCTTTGTTGCGGAGCAGGGGCTCTAGGCTCATGGGCTTCAGTAGTTGTGGCACGCACGCTCAGTAGTTGTGGCACATGGGCTTAGTTGCTCCGCGGCATGTGGGATCTTCCCGTACCAGGGCTCCAACCCTTGTCCCCTGCATTGGCAGGCAGATTCTTAACCACTGTGCCACCCGGGAAGTCCTGTCATGATTTATTTTGTTGCATAAATTGTTCTCCATTTGGCCATTGGGATCTCTGTCAGGTTGGCTTTTCAAAGTGCCCCCTGTGTTTGAGCACTTCCTTTCTGGCACCACAAGATGCTCTGGGTTCATCTTGTAGTTTTCATTGCCACGGCCTTGGAATCAGCCCTGATTCCATATATTGGAGACTGATAATTTAGAAACAGATCTATGCTCAGTTGCTACTGGAGTGTCATTGTCTCTAGGTCCTCTCAGCAGACAGAGTTTGAAAATAAATATTATGTACATTAACCTATGCATGTATGCATGTCTATATTTGTTTATATTTATTTATATATTAAAAAACCCTGAGTTGATACTGATACTTCCTAAAAATTCATGAGTGCATACTAGTGCTTCCAATTCCAGTCGAATACCAGAGACTTCATTCCAGCCTTTCTCCTTTTCTTCTTTGTATCTTCTATCTTCTGACAGTATGAAACCTTGCTTTTGTTATATTTACTTATTTGTGTAATTCTAGTAGTTTCAGAATTTCTAACCTTATAAGAAACAATTTTACTAACTAGAGTATGGAATTTATGTGCAGTTCTTTTTGTCTTTAACCTCACAACGTGCAGTAAAAATATTGTTTTCCAGTGTAAGTCAGGTTAGGTTATTTTTGCCCCTTCAGTGTGATTGTGTTATTCATTTATACTATAGTTAAGGTCATTTATTACAGTCTGTATTCTATTTTGGGTTTTCTATCACTTCCTGGTTTTTTTTTTTTTTTTTTGCGGTACATGGGCCTCCCACTGCTGTGGCCTCTCTCGTTGCGGAGCACAGGCTCCGGACACGCAGGCCCAGTAGCCATGGCTCACGGGCCCAGCCGCTCCGTGGCACGCAGGATCCTCCCGGACCGGGGCACGAACCCGCGTCCCCTGCATCTGCAGGCGGACTCTCAACCACTGCGCCACCAGGGAAGCCCCCTGGTGGTTTTTTTAATTTATGTATGTAAAATTTAGTGTTTGTGGTGTATACTTTCATGGGTTTTGACAAATACATTGAGTTGTGTCTGCCACTGCAGTCATGGTACAGAAACAGTTTCATTATTCTGACAATTCTTTTGTGCCTTTTTCATTTGTCTTGTAAGCATTTTTCTACTGATAGGTGTCCTTTATATATTATTTTTAATGCTAGTATAATGCCTATTAAATGGTTATACTAAAATTTACTTAACTGTTCCTTAACTTGAGGAAATTTTGATTTTCTTTTTTGTTGTTGTTGTTCTTATAAATAATGCTAAAATGGCCATTTTTTCACAAATGAGTTCTTCTTTTGTATTGGTTCCTACGTGAGATTTCTAGACGTGAGATTACTGGGTATAGCTTCATGCCCAATCTAGCATATTAACAGTAGTGCTTTTTGAGAAGTTTGGCAGAGTAAAATGTACGAGTTTCATGGGTCACTACCTACTTTTGGTTTGTTTTTTAAAATTAAGAAGTGAAAATGACATTTTGTTTAAACTTGCATTTTCCCTATGTTTCCAACAGGTCATATTTGCCTATTTGTGAATTGCTGTTAGCTGTTAATCATAAATGCTGCAGTAATTTTTCCTGATTTGTTTGTGTTGCATCATTTTTTTAAATACATTTTTTGTTTTTTACTGATTAAAAAAGTAATATATATTTATCTTAGATAGTTGGGATAAGAGTAAATAATCACCCATAGATAAGCACTATGTATATTTTCTCCTCATGCAGTTTTATATCTATATATCTTTGAACAAAATTGAGATCATGTGTATATGATTTTATTTCTCTTTAAATTCATAAAAATTATGAACTGCTTTATACTTTACTTACATGACTAAAAATCCAAAAATATACAGTGAAAATATAAACACACACTCTTCCCAGAACAGCCACTGTCATTAGTTTCTTATATGTCTTAACAGAATTTCTTTATGCATATTTAAGCAAATAAAAATACATAATCTTATTTTTCTCCCTTTTGCATGAAAGATAGCATTCTGCGTTTCTCTACCCACTGTTTCTCCATCTCCACTACTACTATTCCTGGTCCAACCCACCATTTTTTTCTTTCTCTCCTGGATTACTGTGATAGCTCCTTACTAACCCCTTCACTCTTGCTGTGGTACATTCCATCCGTATATAGCAGACAGAGCAGTCCTTTAAAAAGAACATTTGGGGCTTCCCTGGTGGCGCAGTTGTTGAGAGTCCGCCTGCTGATGCAGGGGACACAGGTTCGTGCCCCGGTCTGGGAAGATCCCACATGCCGCAGAGCGGCTGGGCCCGTGAGCCATGGCCACTGAGCCTGGGCGTCCGGAGCCTGTGCTCCACAGTGGGAGAGGCCACAACAGTGAGAGGCCCGTGTACCGCAAAAAAAAAAAAAAAGAACATTTGGGGCTTCCCTGGTGGCACCGTGGTTAAGAATACGCCTGCCAATGCAGGGGACATGGGTTCGAGCCCTGGTCCGGGAGGATCCCACATGCCACAGAGCAGCTGGGCCCGTATGCCACAGCTACTGAGCCTGCATTCTGGAGCCCGTGAGCCACAACTACTGAGCCCACGCTCCAGAGCTACTGAAGCCTGCACACCTAGAGCCCGTGCTCTGCAACAAGAAAAGCCACCACAATGAGAAGCCCGCGCACTGCAACGAAGAGTAGCCCCTGCTCACCGCAACTAGAGAAAGCCCGGGAAAAGCAACGAAGACCCAACGCAGCCAAAAATAAATAAATAAAATAAGTAAATTAAAAAAAAAAAAAAAGAACACTTGAATCCAATCATATCACTGTCTTGCCTAAAACCCCCCAGTGCTTCCTGTTACTCTTTTAATAACTTACGTTCCTTACCTTGACCAACAAGGCCCTACATATTCTGGGCCGAGTCTACATCTTTGACCTCATACCCCACCGTTAACCCTTTGTTCACTAAGCTCCAGTGACATTTGTCGTCTGTTTCTTGAATAGTCTAAGCTTGTTTCCATCTCGGAATCTTTTCTTATTCTGTTTCCTTTTCCTGGAATACTCTTAACCTCAAAACTTTTCCATGGCTAACTCCTCATTTATCAGGTCTCAGCTCAAATAATCATTTTCCATTCTTCACACTAACACAGTGCCCTGTTTTATTTTTGTCACAACAGATATTACTTTTTGAAATTGTTCATTTTTCCTCTAAAATGTAAGCTCCATGAAAGCAAGGATCTTGTTTGACATGGTATTATGGTATCCCTAGCTCCTAGAACAGTGCCTGGCACATAATAGGCACTAAATAAATATTTGAATGAATAAATATTCTTCTAGCTTCTTTTTTTTGATCATCTGAATATAAAATTATCTTAATATTTATTGCTATGGATGAATTATTAAGATTATTAAAATTAGGGTAACTTTTTTTAATATTAGGAAAAATATTACAAGACCGTTTGAGGATCAGACATCATTGGTAAGTAGAATCTTTCTGATTTAAGAAGGCATATAAGTGATTATTCAAACTAATTCATTTAATTTAATAGTACTCCTAATTTATGATTTTGAATTAGAAATCATCCTATGTGAGGGAATTTTAATGCAGAATGCAGGGGAAATAAGACTTTTATACTTTCAAAAAGATGACTATAGAGCTTACATTTCACTGAATGTTACGTATTCACTGCTTGCAAGTATATTGATAGAATTTTTAAAAATTGAATTACATTTTAAGTGCATAATTAATGGATTGTCAAAAGGAAGCTTGTTATGGATCTTTTTATAGAGCAAGTTTGATTTAAAAAAATTTTACTTTTCTTTTTTTGAGTGTTTTTAGAACAAGAAACACTACCCAAATGATTACTAACAATTGTCAGTTGCTTTACTAGAGTTAATCAAATTCCCGTTTGAGTGTATTAGCAATCAAAACTAAATGAAAAAGTCTAGTGAATGAAATCAGAAGATAAAAGGTGGTATATAATAAATGGAGAATGATGAGTGGACTCTGAGTATGTGATGATATTAGTTTCTTACTAAAGAAAATCTTAAGGGAATACGTGGATTAAACTATTTAAGTTGACTTAAAAAAAATCAGAACGTGATTATGTTCTCTTGACAGGACCGCCATTGCTTGTTCTTTTAGTTAGTGAATTTAAAAGAAAAAATGTTTGAAAAGAATCTCAATAACTAATTAGAAAACTGAAATTGAGCATCTTATCCTAATTTGGCAACTAACTGCAGTGAAAATTATATTAAGAAAATATTGTCAAAATAAACATTTTTTTTAATAAAATTGCTTTTATCATAGTCTTGGGTTTTTCACCGTCATTTTTGAAGAGATCATGAAAGTAAAAATGGAGGGTCTAACCCAGAAATCTCTCTCTTCCACACGTGACTTATCCAGGGCTGATTTTGTTTTGTGACACCATGGTGCTTTCAGTTGAGTGACCACTTTGTAGAAGTGTTATGTTGTAGAATCTGTAGCATTCTGTACTTTTTTTTCAATCCAGTGTCAATACGACAACTTTTCTTATACTTAAAATTGTGGCATTTCCTCTCTTTGATCTCCCACTTCCAGAGACAGGAGATATTTCATTGGCTGTAATAAATCTCAGACCACTAGAGCTCAAAATGACTGTGGAAACAGTGATCATGTTGGAAATTTGGTTGAATTCCTCCTCCTGACTGCCCATCCCCCAATAGCACATTTCTTACACTGTAATCTTGGAACTGTGCTTAGTACAAGAGTTAGCAAATATACCTCCTGTGGGCTAAATCCCTGTTTCTGTGAGGACCACAAGCTAAGAATGGTTTTTACATTTTTAAAGTTTTTTTTTTTTACACCATATAAAAAGTCTAAAATATATACTATCTAGTCTTTTGAAGATAATTTGTCTACTCTTGCTGTAGAATTTTAAGAAAAAGCGGACTTTATGGAGAAGGATGACAGATGAGTACTATATATATGTGAAAGGTAGTTTATGGAAAGCTTTGGGCTGTTAACATGAGAATGTAAAAAAAAATTTTTTTTAAGAAAGGATTTTCATTGATTTGGACATTTAAAAAACATTTCTGAACACATGCTTTGTGCCAGACACAGTGTAAGTTGCTTTCCCATATGACGTGTCACGTGGCCCTTGCAGATTTTTTCAGGAAGTGTTATTGTCTTTGATTTACACATGATAAAAGTAATTCTCAGAAAGGCTGACCAGATCCCATAGCAATTGGCAAAGCCAGAATTCTTGGACTTTCTGACTCTGTATCCTCTACATAGGGAGTGGATAGGCAAGTAGGTAGTTGTTTGTTCCTATTTGCTTCTGCTTAAACACTGGAATGAATGATAACCAAACGAGGGGCCCATACCTCAGGGGGTCTTGCACTCAATAAAGAAAAGTTGAGGACCGTGGTTGCTTCGAATGTTCTTTAACATTTTTGTCATTAATTTAGGAAGCTTTTCCAACTATGCTAGAACTAGACAAGAACACATTCACTCTAATTTTTGTGCTAAGATTGGGAATCTCAATAAACTGAATCAAAGTATGTAGGATATAAAGTATAGGCAGTAGTGTAGAAGGAGCTGTCCAGGATTGAAACCCCATAATTGTGTTTCCATCCCTCTCAAATCTGTAATAGAAGTCAATTTTTTTTTTTTTTTTTTTTGCGGTACTTGGGCCTCTCACTGTTGTGGCCTCTCCCACTGCGGAGCACAGGCTCTGGATGCGCAGGCTTAGCGGCCATGGCTCACGGGCCCAGCTGCTCCGCGGCATGTGGGATCTTCCCAGACCGGGGCACGAACCTGTGTCCCCTGCATTGGCAGGTGGACTCTCAACCACTGCGCCACCAGGGGAGCCCTCACATCTTTTTTATTCATTCATCTGTTGATGGACCTTTAAGTTGCTTGGCTATTGTAAACAGGGCTGCAGTGAACATTGGGGTGCATTTGAATTATAGTTTTGTCTGGGTATATGCCCAGGAGTGGGATTGCTCGTTCATATGGCAACCCTATTTTTATTTTTTAAGGAACCTCCATACTGTTTTCCATAGTGGCTGCACTTAGATTCCCACCAACAGTGTAGGTAGGAGGGTTCCCTTTTCTCCACACCCTCTCCAGCATTTGTTACTTGTAGACTTTTTAATGATGGCCATTCTGACTGATGTGAGGTGGTATCTCATTGTAGTTTTAATTTGCGTTTCTCTAATAGTTAGTGATGTTGAGCATCTTCTCATGTGCCTCTTGGCCATTTGTATATCTTCTTTGGAGAAATGTCTATTTAGGTCTTCTGTCCATTGTTTGATCAGGTTGTTTTTTTTGTTTTTTGTTTTTTTTTTTTTCAGGTTGGTTTTTTTGTTATTGACTTGTATGAGCTGTTTGTCTGTTTTGGAAATTAAGCCCTTGTCAGTCTCATTGTTTGCAAATATTTTCTCGAAGTCCGTAGGTTGTCTTTTTGTTTTATTTATGTTGATCAGTTCTAGTAGTTTTTGTGTGGAATCTTTAGGGTTTTCTATATATAGTATTGTGTCATCTGCATATAATGACAGTTTTACCTCTTCCTTTACAATTTGGATACCTTTTATTTCAAAGAGGTACAATTCTTAAGGTTCTTACATTTATGCATTGATTGAAGGACATTTCTTTGGTTTTACAGGAATTTTTTTCAAAGAAGTCAGATTGTTCTTTATTCATGTTTGGCTCCCATAATAAGAAGCGGCCAAATAATCTAGTAATAGGTAAATATCATTTACTTTTTAATACTTTTATTTTATAGAGTCAGTTCTGTGACTCAGATTAATTGATGGTATTGAGGATTCAGGAGTAGCCAGTTAGCACTGAACTAGTTTTTTATTTTCCTTGTGAGTGTGAATAAAATTTATTTTTACCTACCAGTCTTCAGGTAAAGAAGGGGCATGTAAATATCACCCTACCTCAAGTTGTGGAAGTTTTTCAAATATAAAACATATATCCTAAATCAGTATTAGAGTTAGAAAAAGAGAAGTAGCATACTCACACACACAAATTAACCCTTCCCTAATAAATACCTGTATAATGAATACATTTGAAAATAAACCCTTGCCCTGTATTGTGTATTGAGGCTTGGGCTGACATGCTCACTGGCTTAGGTAAAGCCCTTTACCCTCTGTGGGCCTTTATTTACTCTTCTGTAAAGTAAGGGAGTTTGGCTAAGTGATCTTTTAAGATCCTTTCCAGGTCCAAAGTTGCAACAGTACATTCTAGGTAGAGTTGAAAATTTAAGAAAGAAGAGACATGTTTGGGAGGTTTAAGGAGAAAGAAAAGAGGCAGCTGTTAGGACATTTTGAACACGCAGATAAGTAGGTGAATATAAGGCAGCTGTTTGGGAAAAAATAAATGGTTAAAAGAAAATGTATTTTCCTTCTAGGTCGTATGTATGACTACCATGTGCTGGATATGATTGAAGTAGGTATCGAGAAGTTTGTCTCCCTTAAAGATATTAAGGTAAGATACTGATCATAAAAATAAGCATTTTATAACGTTGCTCTTGGGCAATAGTGACATCTTGTGGTGAAGAGTAAAGATACAGACTTAAATAAGAAAGAACTTTGGTTTTATTCTAGTGTGCTCTAAACTAAAAAGCACAATTTCATTTTACCTTTAAAAAGAGAGAGATGTTTACAGCATATAACACATATGTAGGCAGTTAGACTTAGAGTCATTACTAACTTCTTGTCTAGGCCCCATAGTTGAGATGCTCTCCTCTCCCTCTGAATTATCACAGCACCCATTTTATGTAACCTCAGAAATACCACAATTTTCTTTCTTTCTTTCTTTTCTTTCTTTCTTTCTTTCTTTCTCTCTTTCTTTCTTTCTTTCCTTTCTTTCCTTCTTTCTTTCTTCTTTTTCTTCCTTCCTTCCCCTTCCTTCCTTCCTTCCTCTCTTTCTTTCCTCCTTCCTTCCGTCTTAATTGTATTTATTTATTTATTTATGGCCGTGTTGGGTCTTCATTGCTGTGCACAGGCTTTCTCTAATTGCAGCGAGCAGGGGTTCTGCTCTTCATTGCAGTGCGCGGCTTCTCATTGTGGTGGCTTCTCTTGTTGTGGAGCATGAGCTCTAGGTGCGCGAGCTTCAGTAGTTGTGGCATGTGGGCTCAGTAGTTGTGGCTCGCAGGATCTAGAGCACAGGCTCAGTAGTTGCGGTGCACGGGCTTAGTTGCTCCATGGCATGTGGGATCCTCCCGGACCAGGGCTCGAACCCATATCCCGTGAATTGGCAAGCGGATTCTTAACCATTGCGCCACCAGGGAAGTCCCCACAGTTTTCAAAGTGAGCCCTGTTTTAAACCTAGGAAGCTTTGGCTGATCCTACAGTATTTTGGCTGCTGGGAACCAAATTGCTAGCTCACTTTTCCCCTTGAGGACTTGCATCTTTGTGTCTCCTTTGTTTGAATGGAATTATGAAACAGAAAGGCAAGAAAACTGTCCTAATGCAGTTCCTGGATCCAAATTGGGCTTCTGCTCCCTCAGACCTCTGCTCCTGGCTTAATCTAGTCCATCAAATACATTATTTCACTTAAGATCTCTTAGCTACCCTCTAAGGCTGAAATTATTTTCCCTATTATATAGATTTGGTGACTGAGGCCCAGAGGAATTCCACTGGTGACCTGGAGTCATACATACAGTAAATGGTATAATGAAGATTAGGACTGAAGGGCTTTGAAAGAAAGGATATTGAAGTTTGTAATGGAAAGTTACATAATTGTTCTCAGTCTGTGGGTCTTTGTATAGTTGAAAGAATTATAGCAAATATATAATCACTCCTTTTCCCAGCCTCCCCTAAGAAGAGGACATGCCTTCTAGGTTTCCTGTGTGTTTGAAAAAAGGCTCTTACCAGATCCCTACTTGGTTAGCTATACCACCTTCCTCAGGTACAGGGCAGAACAGTGAGGTTGGATTTGGAGGCAGAACACTTGGGTTTGAGGCCTTTCTTGGTCAGTTAGGTAGCATTTGTGACCTGACATTCAGTTACTTCCCTGACCCACAATTGCAATCAAGTATTAAACAGGTATAACAACATCAAACGAGATAATATATGTGAAAATGCTTATCAATGAATTTAATATATTGAAAGGTATTTTGAAAACTGTATAAACTGTGATACTTTATTATGGATGCCATCATTTTATTACAGTTTATTACAGGTTGTCTTTGGGGCTGTGTGTGAATCCCTGGAGATGAGCAGTACCACTGCTGTTAGCATGGTTACCAGTTAGTGGGTGTGAGCAGTGGCTGATGCCTGCATGCCAATCCCTCTGCTCTTTCCACTTCCCTTCCAAAGCAAAGAAATACCCCGTCACTGTGCAGCTTCTAAACTGAACCACAAAATCAGTATCGTTTGGCAGGTGTATTCTTAACAAGAACCATTTAAATTGAGTACTAGATCTTGTGGCTGTGTCGTGCGCGTGAGCGCCGTAGGGCCAGGGAGGCACCAGCTGCCGCGCAGGGCGGAGGCCGAGGCTGCAGCTTGAGGGAGGCCCTGGTCCCTCTGCACCTGTGTATGGCAGAGCTGGTGTGAGACCAAGAGACAGTCCTTCCCAGCCGCCGGGATCATCAAGAGTTTTGGCCGGAACTTTGAGCACACACCGAAATAGTGAGGAGCCAGGTGAAAAGCACAGATGATGGTGCTGAAACGGATTAATAAGGAACTTAGTGATTTGGCCCGTGACCCTCCAGCACAGTGTTTTGCAGGTCCAGTTGGGGATGATATGTTTCATTGGCAAGCCACAATTATGGGACCTAATGACAGCCCATATCAAGGCAGTGTATTCCTTTTGACAGTTCATTTTCCTACAGACTACCCCTTCAAACCACCTAAGGTTGCATTTACAACAAGAATTTGTCATCCAAATATTAACAGTAATGGCAGCATTTGTCTCGATATTCTAAGATCACAGTGTTCTCCTGCTTTAACTATTTCTAAAGTTCTTTTATCCATTTGTTCACTGCTATGTGATCCAAACCCACGTGACCCTCTAGTGCCAGAGATTGCACGGATCTATGAAACAGAGATAAGTACAACAGAATATCTCGGGAATAGACTCAGAAGTATGCCATGTGATGCTACCTTAAAGTCAGAATAACCTGCATTATAGCTGGAATAAACTTTAAATTACTGTTCCTTTTTTGATTTTCTTACCCGGCTGCTCCCCTATCAGAACTCATCTTCTTTAATTTTATTTTTTGTTTACCTCCCTCCATTCATTCACATGCTCATCTGAGAAGACTTAAGTCCTTCCAGCTTTGGACAATAACTGCTTTTAGAAACTGTAAAGTAGTTACAAGAGAACAGTTGCCCAAGATTCAGAATTTTTTAAAAAATGGAGCATGTGTATTATGTGGCCAGTGTCTTCACTCTAACTTGGTTATGAGACTAAAACCATTCCTCACTGCTCTAACACGCTGAAGAATCATCTGAGGGGGAGGGAGGTGGATGCTGAGTTATCACATCAAAGGAAGCAGCATTATTCTAGCAGCATCCATTCATGTGTAAGCCTTCCACTGTTAGAGATTTGAGGTTACATGATATACTTTATGCTCGTAAGTGACGTGGCTGGAAAATTGGTATTGAATTTATAGCATCAGCAGGACAGAAAATGTGATGTATTTTATGCATGTCAACAAAGGAATGACCTGTTTTACAGAGAATGGAAATTGGAAGTCAAACACCCTTTGTATTCCAAAATAGGGTCTCAAACATTTTGTAATTTTCATTTAAATTATTAGGAGGCTTGGAGCTATTAGTTAATCTATCTTCCAGTACACTGTTTAATATAGCACTGAATAAATGATGCAAGTTGTCAATGGATGAGTGATCAACTAATAGCTCTGCTAGTAATTGATTTATTTTTCTTCAATAAAGTTGCATAAACCAATGAGTTAGCTGCCTGGATTAATCAGTATGGGAGCAATCTTTTGTAAATGCAAAGCTGTTTTTTGTATATACTGTTGGGATTTGCTTCATTGTTTGACATCCAATGATGATGTAGAGTTCTAGAGAGTGAATATTTTGCCATGTTCAGTTAAAAGTGTGCAGTCTGTTACAGGTTGACACATTGATGGACCTGATTTATGCAGAATTAATAAGCTATTCAGATAGTGTAGCTTTAGTATGCTGCACATGATACTGGCAGCCCGGGGGTTCATAGATGGACTTGGGACCCAGCAGTTTTCAAATGTGTATATGGAGTTTAAGAAATTTATTTTCCAGGTGCAACCCCCATCTAACTAAATTTTTTCTTCACCTTGTACACTTGACAGCTGAAAAAACCATAACATTGGAGTAATAATGGGTCAAAATTTACAAAATAAAGTACTGTTTTGGTGTGGGGAAAAAAATAAAAATAAAAAATTGAGTACTAAATTTTCACTCATGGAGCATATCCATAACTATAAAATTCATTAATTGATGAGAATGTGCTTACATTGGCAATTCCTACATAGACTATTAGCCAGTCCCCTTCACTTTGACCCCGTTATTTGGCTACAACCTCGTATTTTTAGTTTGTTCTGGAGTTGCATGTTTTGTTGTACTTTCCTTCCATATTTATTTCTTCTTTATTTCTACCTCCTCGTTTTTAAGACATCTTTACCAGGTATTTCTTCTCTTACTTGCCCACTTTTATTGCCAAGCCTCATCCCTCTATTAACTCTTAAGCAACAGGTGATTAGACTCTACCAGGAAATAGAGTGATTATTCTAGAAGCCTGTTTTCTAAGATGGCCAAAATTCTAGGGGTGGTTATTCTGCATAAAATAAGCCTAAGAAATGAGATGATTTAAAATTAAAGGTTAGCTGGGCACAGGTGGAACACAGAAGAGTCATTGGGTCTGGAAGGTCTATTCAGGCCCACAATCAGACAGACAGATTTTAGGCCCATCTCCTAAGTTTAAACAGTTCAGGTTCGTGTTGGAAGCAGAGAATGTCAACAAGAGTGGTCATGGTGAACAGCGAAGCAACACGTGACCTCTGGTCCAAGGGCAGAGGATGTTTGTTTGTTTGTTGTCCTGTCTCCCCCTACCCCCTCCACTTGGATAATCCTTGATTAGTGTCAGAGCAGAGATATTAGAATCAGTGGGAAGCTCAGACCGATTCTTCTTCCTCCATAAATTAACCCTTCAGTTAAAGAATTTTTTCTATTTGATTTTTTCTTTCACTTTGGTAAAACAAAAATTCACATTCTTTTTGGTATAGAAAATCCAGAACTAGGGAGTTCCCTGGCGGTCCCGTGTTAGGACTCCACACTTTCACTGTCGAGGGCTCGGGTTCATTCCCTGGTGTGGAAGCTAAGATCCCACAAGCTGTGTGGTGCAGCCAAAAAAAAGAAAGAAAAGAAAATCCAGAGTGAGACAAAATATCTTTTAGAGTAGAGCTTCGATCCTGCTGAGTGAGGATTGCCCATATTTTCTGTAGCTTGTATAACATTATATTGCTTCCCATGTTAATGTTTAGTTGGTAGTTCAGTTTAGCTTTCATTTAAAAATACTGCTGGTGTGACATAGTAGGAAAGGCACATTGTTACAAATAATTCAAAGAAATTAAATTTATTTTGACTCTGAGATGTTGGCTGTTAGAGGGCTGTGTTTGTTTTGCCGCAGGTTTAGCTTTTTATTTTATTCTTTGCATAGAAAGTGATAAAAAGTAGCTTACATCATTCTTTAATCACTTATTAATTTGGCACTAAGAGGGAGTGGAATGAAAAATCATTTTTTAGTATAAAAATCTGTAAATTAAAAAATCCCCACTCTGGTTTTAAGTCTAAAATCAGTGTTCATAGGGACATCCTTGGTGGTCCAGTGGTTAAGGCTCCACGCTTCCACTGCAGGGGGCACGGGTTCAATATCTGGTTGGGGAACTAAGATTCTGCATGCTGTACCGTGTGGCCAAACTAAATAAATAAATAAAATCAGCATTCATAGACATAGTTTTAGGACAGTTAAGAAAATGTGAAAATGAGTCACTGTATATCAGCGGTCCCCAACCTTTTTGGCATCTGGGACCAGTTTCATGGAAGACAAGTTTTCCACAGATGGATGGGGGGATGGGGAATGGTTCAGGCAGTAATGCGCGATGGGGAGCAGCAGATGAAGCTTCACTCGCTCGCCTGCCACTCACCTCTTGCTGTGCGGCCCGGTTCCTAACAGGCCGAGGACTGATGCCAGTCCAGGGATTGGGGAGCCCTGCTATATATAAATATTGACTGCTTTAAAATCAGCATATAAACAATTTAGACTTGATAATTATGTAATTACTTTTTTTATTTCCTAGAATAGTAAATGTCCGGAGGGAACAAAACCCATGTTAATATTTGCAGGTGATGATTTTGATGTAACAGAAGACTACAGAAGGCTAAAAAGCCTTCTTATTGGTAAGTATTTTAATACATATCTGCAGGATAGCTCAGGTAGGCATTCTAAGAGTTGCCATTGGTCGTGGCAGTTTGCAACTTCACTCTAGATATACAGCTTTTTCTCTTTGATCTCTTTTTCTCCTTTTCATTATTTTGTTTATTCCCCACTAGAAGCAGGAGAGAGTTAAAAGGATGCTATACTCTATAGATCATTATTACTTTTTGATGGTATAGTAACTTTGGTAGCAACCTGTTTAATGCTTGCACCCGTCTCCTGTCATTATTGGCATTATTAAATTAAATTTAGAAAATTGAAAAGTTAAATTTTCGAGATTATTATACATCATCCACTTCCAATTCAAAAACCTCTATTAGTTTTTCTTAGTCTGATATACAAGGCTTTTCACACTATAACCCCGTATAACTTGCTTTCTTAATCTCCACCAATTTCATTCCTCCCTTTTCCATTTAAAAAAAAACAAAAAAAACCTTGTAAGGTTGTTTTAAAGGTGATTGGTTCTTAGTGAACTCTGCTCATTCCTAATGTTTTATCTAATGACTACATTACTTTTTGTGTGTTCACAAGCCACCTTCTTAAAATCCAATATACAATATATAGTTATTGTCTGAGATTGATGTTAAATTTACCAATTTTAAACCACTTTTTCTCTCCTTTTTTGAAAAGCTGACATTATTGTTCTCCATGGTTTCTTAACGGTTACTAATACTTAATATTGTGTGATCACATCTGCCAGCTCTGTTCTTACTCTGGAAGGTAATTTAGTTCATCTCTAGAGATATGAACTCTTCTTATACTTAGTGGCATTTTCTGAAGTTTAAATAATTTATTCTATTTGAGCTTTTCTTGCACCATTCTTACAAGCTATGGCTTAACTTTTTTGGTTGCCCTTCTTTTGGATTTTTATATACTTTGCCCTAGATGACTTTTGAAAAGTTGGTGGGGGATATATTATAAATTATATACATGCTTTTTACAAATCTGAGCCAACCAAAGAATGTTTGTGGGCAGACACATTGCTTTCGGTTTTCCTTATTGGGATTAGTTATGCTCTTATTGTTAGGAATACAGTTTTCGGGACTTCTCATTTCTCTTGTTCATAATGGCTATTTTTGAAAAACTAAGTATCACTGTTACCTGTTTAATCCTTACTAAAATGCTTGAGTTTGGTAACATTTCATTTTACAGATGGGAAGTTGGAGGCTCAGAGAGGTTAAGAGCCATTAAGTAGGTGAAGCAGAATCAAAACCCAAAGCCTGTGCTTTTCTTCTTCTGCTCTTCATCCTGCCCACGGTGAATAATTCCTTTGCAGAGTCTTTGCTATAGGTTCTTACCTCTGTTTTCCATGAATTAAAAAAAAAAAAGAAAAGGGACTTCCCTGGTGACGCAGTGGTTAAGAATCCGCCTGCCAGTGCAGGGGACACGGGTTTGATCCCTGGTCCGGGAAGATCCCACATGCCACGGAGCAACTAAGCCCGTGCACCACAACTGCTGAGCCTGCGCTCTAGAGCCTGTGAGCCACAACTACTGAGCCTGCGTGCCACAGCTACTAAAATCCATGCACCTAGAGCCTGTGCTCCACAAGAGAAGCCACTGCAATGAGAAGCCTGCATTGCACGTTGCACCGCAACGAAGAGTAGCCCCCACTCACCTCAGCTAGAGAAAGCCCGCACGCAGCAACAAAGACCCAACGTAGCCAAAAAAATAAATTAATTAAAAAAAAATCATACATGGAAGACAGCGACCAACATTTCTTTGAATATTACATAGCCCAAAACATCAAGGGAGTTTTTTTTAGCCAAGATTCCTAGTAGTTGTACTGCGTTGGCTCAGATTTCCTGCTTTTTTCCCCTTGTTCTTCTGTATAATTATTATTAGTGAGGGAATTACTTATAATTTGTTATAACAGAGCTTTGTTGCTTCTGTTTAAATGGTTTTATCTTACTATTTTGTGCTTCCACTAGATGGCAGGAATAACCACATGATGCAGTAATGAGAGGGAGGGAGTGAAAACCAAAAAGGAATTAAGAAAGAAGAAAGACAGGTAGCAGGATGGAGTGACATTGTCTGGCACTAAGCAAAGTTGAGTTTTTAATATAAATAAGAAGTAAGAAAGTTGCAGAGTTCTTGGTTTGTGTTGTGTGTTCAAATGAAATAATGTAGAGCAGTAGGTAAAGAGAATTTTATCAAGGGCTTTTTTCCTGTTTGGAAGTTGTGTTTTTGTTTTCTTTTTGTAATTGGCCAGAAAGAAAAGTTACTTCAGTATTTTCATGCCAGATACCCATTTTGTTCATTCGAATTTTGCTTCTCTTTTGCTTTAAACATTATATAGATTTGTAGTTAATCTTAGCAGGTCCTGCTTTTCTTTACAGAAAACCAGTGCCTGTTTTTTGATTCAGTCCATCCTAATTTTTTTTTTTTTAATTCTCGTTGTGCCGTGTGGCTTGTGGGATCTCAGTTCCCCAAAAAGGACCAGGGATTGAACCCAGGCCACAGTAGTGAAAGTGCCAAATCCTAACCACTAGATCACCATGGAACTCCCAGTCCATCCTACTTTTTATGGTTATTTTTTAGTATGACTACTCCTCGTATATAAAGATGATAATGAATCAAGTAATAGGTTAGTTTTATTAAGTGTCCCTTTAAAGCCTACCTTTAACTTAACTACCTAACTGGGTTTTTTTTTTTTTTTTTCTTCATTGCCTTTGTCTATATTAGTGGTCATATCTACATCTGTGGTCATTGTTATAATTTTTTTTTAACCTTTCTCATCTCCTAATTCTTATTCCACTTTAATACATATAATAATGAAAATAACTGCCATAGATTAGGTCAGGTAATTTATTAAATTTAATCCTTTCTACAGCTCTACAGAGATAATTGTATTAGTCTGCTCAGGGTGCCATACAAAAGACCATAGACTGGGTGGCTTATAAGCAACAGAAATTTATTTTCTCACAGTTCTAGAAGTCCAGGTTTCTGGTGAGGACTTTCTTGCTTTGTGCTTACAAGGCTTTTCCTTGGGGAGGAAGGGAAGGAGGGAGATAGACAGAGGAAAGAGGGGTTTAAGTTTTCTGTTGTCTCTTCTTATATGGACTCTAATCCTATGGGAGCAGACCCTACCCTTATGACATACCTCATTTAACCTTAAGTACTTCCTTAGAAGCCTTATTTCCAAATATAGTCACACTAGAGGTTAAACAAACATTCAGTTCATTATGGTAATATTATTCCCATGTTGTGGATGAAGAAATTGAGACCAGTTCACTGATGTCCAGAGTGAAGAGTTAGTAAGTGTCAGAATCAGGATCTTATCCATTCTCTGACTCCACATCCCCCAGTCTTTCCCGTCAACACCCTGGTCATCCTCCTGTGCCCTTTCCCAGTGTTTTTACTCATGGACACAGTCACACTAAAGGTGTTATTTTTGCTTGGAATTGATCCATTGAAAAAATGTCCAAACTGGGGCTTTCTTTCTAATTATAACCAATTTATCTGCTACCCCCTTATTTCTGTTTAACCAGGTTTTTCTCCTTATCCCTATTCTCATAATATCTTCCTTTTTACCTCAACCATCATTCCTGCCCAGTTTAGGGTCAGCCTTTTTGACAGTGCTCTGAGTTTCAACACATTTTAATCCATCACCCCCTTGATGTTTTAGACTCCTCTTGTACTTTAATTGCTCCAGTCCTGGAATCAGCTATTTCTGTAAGGATCCTGGGTTTTTTTTAAGTGAGATGATTTTAGAAATCACATTTTGTGTGCTAGGGAGTATTTCTGGGTTGGTCATTGTTTCTAGGCTTTTTCAGTGGACAGAACTATGAGATTTATTTGTTAAGATAAAATATATCCTGAGTTCATACTGAAACTTCTAACTCAAATTTAGGACAGAAGGATATGTACACGTACATACCTTCTTTCATCCATGACAAAAATCCAGGTTCTCAATGACTCCAACATAATGATGCATTTACTTTATACTGTACTACACATACAACAGTCTCAGAATAAAATACTGTTATTACTACTGGTAGTATGAATATTGAGTGCAACTGAATGGTGTTTGGTTTCTTTTGTGTGTGTGGTTTTTTTTTTTTGCAGTGCTGTATGTCTATATATCCTATTAGGAATATGGTCAAATTACTGTGTTTTGAAGTCATTTGAAACAGTCCTTTTCTGTATGATTATGCCTTCAGCCCAATACACAGGTTCATTTCATTTTGTTTTCAATTTTTAGGGATAACTTTATTAAGTTTTTTCATTATAAATTATTTTTTGGGGTATGATTTACATACAATCAAGTGCACGTATTTATTTTTAAATTCTTTTTTTAATTCTTTTTTTTAAAGTTTTATTTTTTGGCTGCATTGGGTTTTTGTTGCTGCGCACGGGCTTTCTCTAGTTGTAGCAAGTGGGGCCTACTCTTCGATGCGCAGGCGGTGGCTTCTCTTGTTGCGGATCATGGGCTCTAGGCGCGCGGGCTGCAGTAGTTGTGGCATGCAGGCTCTAGCGCACAGGCTCAGTAGTTGTGGCGCACAGGCTTAGTTGCTCCGCGGCATGTGGGATCTTCCTGCACCAGGGATCGAACCCTGCATTGGCAGATGGATTCTTAACCATTGCGCCACCAGGGAAGTCCAAATGCACATATTTAAAGTTTTAAAATTTAATGGATTTTGACATATTTATATACCTCTAAAAACACCACTGCAATCAAGATATAGAACCTTTCCACCACCCCCCAGAATTTCCCTGTGCCCTTTGGTAATCCATTATTTTTCTCTATTCTAAGCAAACATTGATCTGCTTCCTGTCATTTTTGCATTTTCCAGAATTTAGGTAAATGGAATCATAGAGTATGTACTTTTCTTGGCCTGACTTCTTTCACTCAGTTTGTTTTGAGATTCATTCATGTTGTTGTATGTATCAATCCTCCATTTCTTTTTATAACTGAGCAGTATTCCATTTATAGCTATTCTGCCGTTTGTTTATACCTTCATCT